TGCTCCCTGAGACAAAAATCTCTTAAAAAAAAAGAAGAAGAAGAAGGTAAAATAAGTCTGATGGTGGCATAAAATGCAAGATAGCCAACTGAGGAGAAAAAAAATACAGAAAAATGAAACCTCACTTAATTATCCCGAAGTGTTTCTCCAAGTTTTCCCTTAGATATTATCCTGCATTAAGTTCATCTGGGGAGTTTGTTAAAGATATAAATTACTAAAGCCCACTGCAGCCTGACCTGCAAAATGGAAATAGGGCAGAGACTCAGAAATCTTTCTCGAAATGGGAGTGGAACCACACTATAGATCTTTCCAATCATTCTGATCATCAGTAATATTTATTATGCACTAGCATATGCCTAAAAACTTTACCTTATCAACCAAAAGTTCATTCTCCTTTCTAACTTAAAAAGTCTTCTGATTAAATTGCAAAGCATATTACCTACTTTCTTTCTTCCTTCTTTTCTTCCTTCCTTCCTTTCTTTCTTTTTAAAGATTTATTTATTTATTTAATTCCATTTGTTATTATTATTGTTTCTTATTTGACCAGAGACAGAGAATGCAAGCCGCCAGGTCCGGGACTCAAACCGTGGCCAGTCATGTGGCAATCCAGTGCCCTTAACCACCACACCACCTGCTGGACCCCCTATGTTTCTTACAATGAAGACACATAGAGAAATTAATAAAAGCAGCAATAGACCAGCCACAGTGGTGCAGTGGTAACGCAATGAATGCTCTGTAAAGCTGAAGTCACATGGGAAAGTCCCAGGTTCATGTCCAAGGTCTCCCATGTACACGCCAGAAGTGTATGTGATATTGGCTGACTAAGACTGGGGTAGATCGTGGTGACCCTGTTGGGGGTTTCTGTGTGTCTCTCTCTCGCTCACCAGAGAAATAAATAGACAAGAAATGAGCAGCAACATTACCAGAACAAACTAAACTAATCTATAAAATAGTTTCTTTCCTTCTTTTTTCTCTTTTCTCTCTTCCTTTCTTTCTTTTTTTTTTTTTCTTTTCTCTTTTGTTCTATTGTTGGTATAAGTTACGGTTGATTTATTTCTCAATAAAATTTTTTTCCCCAATCTGTATGATGTCCTTTATACAGTAACAGAATTTCAAACTTTAATGTGGATTGTTGTAGGAAATGAACCTCCTGCCAAATTATTGAAAAATCATAAAGAGATAATATTCTGAATGTCTAAGATTTGGTATACCTTTTATGAGTGATTGTTTTAATTTTATGTTTGCCTCAAACTCGAAAGTCTCTACTAGAGGTAATTTGTACCTGTCCAGCAAAAATAATTATAGAAATATTCAAAAAAATAAGCACAAAACCTCTCCAAGTCTCACAATGCCTCATCTTATGTGATTATTTTCTGAATATTCTATATGTGATATTTTGCATAGAAAAATTGATGCTTTTCTTTCCTTAGCAAATGGTTTCTCTAATGTGTCTAATTCAACTTTGTAATATAAATTACATTTAGGCCAGTAACTTATACATACCCAATGTTTACAAAATGTCTTCCTGATTAATCTCATAATCAGTTTTCAAAATCAGAGGTGGAAGTAAATATTTCAAATAGCCTTTAAGTTCTTTGAAAGAATTTATGAGAAGACTGAAAAACGTAACAATTACAAATAAATAGTGTCTATTTGGTTTAAAAAGTGCTATATGAATGACAAACATTGTATATCTTGCTCAATATATACTGATTGTCTGCACTCTACAGGTGAAATGGAAAGATGTGAAGACATAATAGTAGAGAGGCCAAGGGACCAGCAGATGGCATAATGGTTATGTCACTGGACTTTCATGTAGCTGACCACAGTTTGAGTCATGAACCTTGTGGCTTAAAACTCATGCCACGTGCATTTGCTTGTGTGCCTAAAATCCTGAGAGGAGAATGGAGGAGAAGGGATTGCAGCATGGCCATCTTCCCTGGGGGATAGTTTCTCACTTTCTGTCTCTCTCTGTCTCTCTGGTGACTGCATACACCCCATAGCAAAAATCTCTCTTAAAAAAAAAAGAATAGTAGGGAGGGCAAGTGTCAATACCAGAAACTGCATGGGATATGTGGGATGGCAGAGCAAGAAGAGGGTAGTGAGGGAATGGGTGGGAGGGCCTCAGGGAAAAAGCATTTAGCAGACCCAAGAATATAAAGTTCTTTGTTGAAAATGATGGCTATGGGAAAATCTTTGATTTGATTATCACATACCACATGAATGCTTCGAAAAACCATATTGTACACTATAAACATATACAATTAAATGTAAATAATAAATTACAAAAAATCAAGAGTTCTAAAGATCTATTATCCTTTTTACCCCTCCTCTGAGATACTACAATACTGACATATAATTAAACTACATTTCTTTTTATACTGTTCTGTTTTTTACTTTTCTCTAATTAAGATTAGATATGTCATTTTTCATCTTAACTAGTGAATTTCCCTATGTATAGCTTGAGTAATCATTAAAAGAAAAAGAGACATATAATGTCAGACACACAGACATACATACATATATTTATATTTGTAAACATCAGTGACAGGAAAGAAAGGCTGGTTAGACTAAGATGATATGCATATAAGATACTGAAGTAACTTTAGAAATTCTCAATGAATGTCTTGCAAAGGAAAATAATAATAAAGTACCACTGATTCTGTATCAGTAGGTTTAATCTCTAGCCTCTTCCATTTTAACAAGATTTATTTTACTGATGGTTTAATATGTTAAAGACTCTAAATAATATTTGGTGATTGACCAAAGAAGCGGCCTGAATACCTGGCTTGTCCCTGACAGTCACAGAAGTGGAAGCAGGAAGCAGGAACATTGTTACCCAAAGCCAATGTTTCCAAGTGCCAACGTGCCTCATTGTACCTTGAAACCATGTGAACAAGTGGTCACAAACCTGCAACAGAAAAACAACATTCCAGGTGAGTTTATTGTTTATTTTTAAAGAATGATTTTACTGAACTTTTATTTATTTATTAGTTTGTTTATTAAATCTGACCAGAGAGAAACAGAGTGAGACAGAGAGAGAGGAA